ATAATGGGGGGGAGGGAGGGGGGGGGGGGGGGATTTCCCCACCAAAGCTGAGACCAAACCTACGCCCATGTAGGAAATTAACAGCAAGGTAAATAAATAAAAAAAGGATTTATATACACATATATAGTGTGTGTGTGTGTGTGTGTTTGTGTGTGTGTGTGTGTGTGTGTGTGTGTGTGTGTGTGTGTGAGTAGACCATATACTTAAGATTGCTCTTTTTTTTCCTTCTTGGACAACCAACCAATCACAGTCTTCAAAAGATTGTGTCACACATAGCAACGGGGTCAGCCCCGCCTCCTCACCAAGATGGACGTTTGTATCTTTTCCTTACTCAGAGTTGCTCTCAGATCGGTCCCGATTCGCTCTTGAGCTAAGACTCCTACGTAAACGTTTTTAAGCTAAATTAAACGTTTTCTGAGAGAATCTTTATGAATACGGGGCCCTGATGTTTACATGTTTCCCGTGAGTGTGGGAAGCCTCTTTTCTATTCTTATTTCTACTCCTAATTGAAATAGAAAAACTGAAATAGATTTGCTGCTTGCTGTAGAAACACACCTGTGAACTGCATGAAGTCTGTGAGATATAAAAGAGAAACCTCTGAGCAATAAACAACATTAAGCCTGGTGAAACCGTTTCAGCTCTTCTTCACAGCTGGAGAACAACGATACAGAAGATGAAGAGGGGCTGAAAGGGTTAAACCTTCAGAGTGAACACAAATACAGCAGACGCTCATTAATTCAGAGACACACACAACCTGTGTGGCATTATGGGAAATAATGTTTCTCAGAAAAGTGGAGCCATTTGCATTTATACCGTGTCTGTCTTTACCGTGTTAGTGGATGTTTTTAATAAGAGGAGTGTTTACTGACTCAAACACCTCTAAAGTTCAGTGTGTGTGTGTGATCCAGACATCAATGATTCCTCAATCAGGGATCAACATCTACAGAAGATCACAGAGACACACTAGAAAACACCTGCAGTTATTCATTTGACACACACACGCACACGCACACGCACGCACACACGCACACACACACACACACACGCACACGCACGCACACACACGCACACACTCACACACGCACACACACACACACACGCACGCACGCACGCACGCACACACGCACATACACACACACACACACACACGCTTCTTGTTTAACCTTTCTAAAAATACCCAAATTCTATTAGATGTTTATGTTCATTTTCATCATAACAGATCAAGGGTAATTATTTTCCCCACTGAAAATCAAGTTGATCACAGTCAACTGACAGTGGATATTGTAATAACAAAATTAAGTCGTTTTTAAAAATTGAAGATTTGTATATATACACACACACACATATGTGTGTGTGTGTGCGCGCGCGTGTGACCTGTGCTGGCAAAATTAGTCTCAATGAGCACATTTTCAAAAATGATTGAGGTTTTTTTTTTTTTTCACATTCTCTATTAAAAACCTTATCAAAGCAAATAAAGATAATTTTAGATGTTTAATTGCTATGTAGAGCACTAGACAAGAGCTTAATGAACTGAATGAAAACCTCAAAATCGACCAAAATTGACATTTTTCACTTGTTTTTCGTAATTGGCCTGTGCACATTCCCACTCATTTTTCCAGAATGGGTTCACACACACACACACATATACATATATAAATAAATGATAGCTAAATAACTAGCGGGTCTCAGAAATTGAAACGAACTGTCAGTTTTAGTCTTGAGAAAGTCCTTCATGTTCACTGTAATCTCTGTGAATCACTGGACAGAGATTGACCATCAGTAATGAAATAAAGCTTAATAACCAAAAACAGTGCTGACTGGAAATACCATTTAGCCATTGTGTGTGTGTGTGTGTGTGTGTGTGTGTGTGTGTGTGTGTGTGTGTGTGTGTGTGTGTGTGTGTGTGTGTGTGTGTGTGTGTGTGTGTGTGTGTAATGGTTTGTGTAATAAGCTGAATTAGGGCTGGATCTGAAGTGGACTGTGTGTCGAGCCCCTTTAGTTCATTGCTTTTTAAAAACTCTCATTACGTGCCTCTTTATATAAATGAATCACCTAAACGCTTATTGATTTGAAAGAGCTCAAGTAGCGTTTTCAAAAGCGATTAGGATCCTTCACACAGAATATAAACAGCGCATGAATCAGCAGCGTATCTCGGCCATTAGACGCGTGTGTTTAATGTGAATGTCTTCAGTCCTGCTCCATCGTAATGTGTGTAACGCAGCATGTTTACAGAATAATTCATTTCACCCACATAACCGAGACTGCTGGAGTGTGTGTCCTGCCACTTTTTGCCACTTGATCAACAAAGATATAATCTTATGCATCTTTTAATCTTATAAATCTTACAATATATATATATATATATATATATATATATATATATATATATATATAAATATACTATATGCATTATTTTTTGAGTAGTATTTGTAAAAAAGTGTGTTGGATTTGCTCCACCGCCATGACACTCGACGCAAGCGGAGTGATACAAACCGTGAAA